TTTATTTCTTTTCTTACAGAATTTGAACAGGTGAAGAAGAAAACTACGCCACTTTAAGCAAAACATAGTTAAATTTTTTTAAATCTTAGATGCAAAATATGCATTTTCTGTACAATGTTGACATAATTATAGTCCTGAGTGTCTTTTGAAATAATATCCTTTTTGTACCCTCCAGTTAACGATTATTTGATTGCTAAATTAGCTGATTAATAACGATTAATCGTTTTAGCTTTGAAGCTAAATAGAAGCAAATTCCAGTTTGGGCGTAATGTGACTACTGTGTAGCGCAGCAGCAGATATGATCAACTTTCACATCACTTCCGACTCTGATTAAACCTCCGCAGTGAAATTCAAATAATCTGCTGACTGGCTGCAAAGCAGAGAAAAGCAATGCACACATTTTCCAGCCCACACAGGGAGCAGGTCTTCCTAGACCTCTGCTTCCTCACACAGCTTTTTGTCATCTCAGGTTGTAAATGATTCAGTAGACGACCCATATTCTGCTTTGCACAGGTTATTAGTGCAGCACAGATGGAAAACAGTGATGCAGGAGAGCGGAGCGCCTTTTGTTTTCTTTTTTTTCCTCCTCAAAACATCACTTCTTAAAATAGTGATGTTCTTGTTCCGCTTTGTTCCACCCAAAGGAAATTGTTCTTCTGTCAGGAAGAAAGAAAGAGCAAATCTAAGCACAAAGTGCGAGGGTTTTGTCTACTGCGCTCTGCGAAACACCAGGTTAAATATAAATGCCACTAATCTGCAGGTTTCTAAAGAAACTCAAATACCTGAAGATCCAACAGAAAGGGAACTATGACGCTTCAAATCCTGGATTTCCAGAGCATATCTCTAAAGTTTACAACATGTGGGACACATTTTTAGACATTTTCAGCAAAGTCCGTCAAACTAATTCAATGAAATGGATGACAAATTAAAACATGCTCAGTAATTTACATTTGCATGATATATTTGTTTATCTCTTTCTATCAAAAACTGAAGACAAAAGTTTTCAGTCGAACGTTTTGCCAAATTTGTTCACAGAGACGTCAAAACAAATTGTTTTGTTGTTGTTTCTGTATATTTGAAATATCTTCCAGTTCCAATGTTAAATGTTCATTAGAAATCAAATCATATTAATTTTTTTAGGGTGTAGTTGCATTATTATGCTGTTTAAAACAACATTATAATTTATCCAAGTAATTTCTTTTCCTGATGGGCCTATTTCCAATTAGTTTGGATGAGATTTATTAATAAAAGATGCATAAAGTGTTGATTTTGTGCACAAACCTCAATTTGATGCTTTTATTTTGATAAGTTAGCTTTTAATTTGAAGGTAAAACCTTTTTTCTTACTCAAGCAGTAAGCGATGCGAGTTTCCCAAAGGAATCTCACTTCATCCGAGAAAATAAAATAACAGGTTGATAAAGAGCGTAAATGTAAGTCTGTTGATTTTGAATAATTGTTATAAAGTTCTGTTGATGAGAATCATGGGATCTAATTTTGTTGTACGTCTGCTATCATAAAGAATGTTAAATATTTCCAATTTCTTCCAAAAAACGCAGGAAAATCTTGTTCAGCTACTGATTTAGCCCTCAGCAATCTCTTTTCCATCCAGTGGTGGGTATTTATGGTATCGTTTATCATTTATTGTGATAGATTAACTTATCAAAAGAATTTTAATTTACCATTGTCACAATTCCAATTGTGTTAAAAAGCAGTCTGTATTGTCGTTTTTGCTAATTTTCCTGATTTTTCCATTGTTTTGTCAATAAGTTTGAAAACATGATGAAGCTAAGTTACTGTGTGCAGTTCAGTGACACATATCTCACTTTTTTATGTCCTACAGATTACAAACAGGTTGGCTTTTAAATAGCAGTACTTGTGTGCCAACAGCTCTAGTTACCCAAAAAGTAGCAATAACTAGATTTTCTTATCACTTTTAGCTTTATAACAATGAAATCACAACATTCAGAGATAAAATTTAAGTTCACATCACACTACATAAAACCAGAAGGGATTTGTGACTCGTATGTTGGTAAGATAAATAAGCAAAGAGTCAAGCTAATCCATGGCTAATCCAGGCAAATTAAGGTGATAAGCCAGGCTTTCTTCTCCCCAGAGCTCACTTGACCCACTAAGGTCCAACCTCAGACCCCCTGCTGGTGGTTTGTGGCCCACAGTCGCATCCTGACCCGAAACCATCAACCTCCAGAAACACTGCTTGTAGCTGAACATTCAGAGCAAATATCGCAACCAGGCATGGACAACAACTCCCCCCACCGAGCCAGACGGACATCAACTGGCTTTTACACATCAGCACATGGCACATTTCATATGCAAATGAAAGTTTCATATGCAAACTTTCATTTGCATATGAAAGTTTATTTGCATAGACTTTCATATTTATTTGCATAAATATGAAAGTTATGCAATTCTGTGTAACTTTTTTATGCAGAACTGTTTTAATTCAGCCATGTTGACAAGTTTGAGCATTAACAGCCCACTTAAGGTACGGTCTGAGCTCGGACAATAAATCAATCATATCATCAAACACACATGATCAATATCAATAAATGATACGCCTGATGGGATATTCAACATATCCAGAATCGCACTGCATTCTGGGAGATGCAGGCAGAAAAGAAAGGCTTTTGCCCATCAACCTTTGATTTTTGGTTTATATTGATATATTTTTCAGCCGTATCTTTCAGCCCTAATATAACTTCTCAATAGGATTTAAGTACAGACTTTGACTAAGCCTCTCCAAAATCTTTTTTCCCAGAAAACTACTCTAGTATAATATTTTCCTATAGACTTGGGGATCATGTTATTTTCTAATCATGAACTCTGACCTTCACCGAGGCCTGAAGTGTTTTACACCTTCTGGGTTCTTATGTGACCTACATGAGGTTCATAATGTGCTTTCGGAGTCATTTATCCGTTTCTGTGAAGGAGATTTTATAAATTATTGACAGAAAAGCTAAATCTAAAGGAGAAAATGCTCGATAATGACGCTAGCAGCATTTTTCAGTTTGCTAAAACAAAGAGCTTTTCATCTGGATCACTGAATGAGAAACTGTTTCAGCGCTTCATGTCTCCAGAGTTATAAAAAAAAATCAGTTTGTGCTCTCAGATGTGATGTTACTGAAGTGATGTTACTGAAGTGTCACTGAGGAGAAATATTGCTCATAAATCACGTCTCACAACGACACAAGGTGGTGAGTCACTGAAGGTACCGAGATGACCTGCAGACACAAATGTAATTGTCGCCGTATTTTATTCTTTGTTTGCATAAGAGCAGCAGCTCAAAAGAACCATGAATTTAACACTTTGGGTTTATTATTTTACCAGCTTCTTCTTGTGACCTGCAGTCAGATTATTTCCAGTTATTACCAAATCCAGCTCATGTTGCATCAGATTTTCACTTTGATTTTATTCCCTGTCCTGAGTTTGATGTTAAAATATTGTTTGTCTCTTTCAAACGCAATTATCAGCAAAAACCTTCAAAAATTTTTCATTTTAACCTGGAAAACATGTTGAATTACATTATTATGTAAAACATAAACTCAGAACAATTGAAGTGTACAGATTTTACCTTTGTGGTGTTAATACTGCAGACAGTGTTTCTCCTGTCTGGCAGATAAAAGCCATGCAAAGCTTAACATTTGCATTCGGATGAGATAGTAAAACAAATATTGTTGTAAGTTTTACGTTTAAGTTTTGATGAAGAATTCTGCAAGCTAAAATCACTGCCAGGGCTGCAACACACAATAATTTTAGTTATCAATTAATTTATCAACTATTCTGACAATCAGATAAAACAACACATTCTACAGATTAACTTAAACAAGTAAATCAATTAAAAAATAAACATTTTATTGCCTAAAATGCCATAATGTAACATTCCTTTAGTAAACAGGAGCTGGGAAAAGATAAAACATGTTTACAGACAAAGAAAATGTATATTTTTTGTACAGTTTTAGCTTAACTGTTGGTATATTGCAGTTAACAATTGATCATTATATTAGTTAACTATTAATCCGATTAATCATGTCAGCACTAATGACCACTCAGGAGACAAACATTGCACTATAACGCTGAGGTTTGCATTCATGGACCTGACTGTAGTAGGAATTTTTATGTTTGTAGTAATTTCTGAAGTTTATCAAAATAATTTGTTTCTTGTTTTGTTTGCAGCAACGCCATGTTGGCCACTTGGAACTGGGACAATTAATGTGTTAGAATGGCCTAGTCCAAGTCCAGAACGCCATCCCTTTGGATGAAAAGTATTTGTGGTTCTTGCGATATGAATGTTATGCCATAAATGGTTAAATGATTCTTATTGTCACTTTTATTAGTAGCAAAGCAGAACTACAAAATATCATGATGAAATTCTAAGTCCAACCTCGAGACCCTGAGCTGTTTTCTGAGGAAAAATGGGTAAATATTTCAAAACCTCGACTTCAGATGGAGATATACTGCAAAATAAAAACCTTATATTAAAAACCAGAGATGCAAAGTATTGACTCAGTGAGGTTTAAACAAAGCCAGTTGAGGAGTTTGGGCTAAAACATGTTTATATACAGAGAAGATTATCATATTAAAACTAAAGTGTATATAATTACTGCTCTGAATGGGGTTTTTTTCTCTGCAATTTGCCTTTTTTGAATGTGTACTCCAATTAACAATAATCAATTACTAAGTCTCACAATTTACACATCAAAGAGCCTCATTAAATCATAAAACCTTGAAGCTGTCAGTGCATGAATACTTTTTGTCATTCAAAGAAAACTGCAGCTTTTTTCGTGCATAATGTAAAATCTCCCACATCATGGCTTCGATTTTTAACATGGGGAAAACATTGCATGCATGCAAATTACTATTTAAAGGAAAACTAAAAGGGGAAGGGACCTTTAAAGGTCATGTCGCTCAACACGATCAGAGACAAGCTGATTTTGGATGCAGGAGAACCAGCCTTTACCCTCATGTCTGCATCACTAACGTACCTCTCATTGGATTCTGGATCCACAAGATGCCTCCGATAAGGTGAGGAGACTGACCGAGCATCCCGATGGACCTTAAATAACCAAGGTGTCGATCTAGGCTGACTCTAGGTCCACATGTCAGAACACCTGCTGCCCCAAATGACGAGGTTCAGACAGACTGGACTCGCTCTCTGTTGCATCACAACAGAGGAGAGGAGAGGAGAGGAGAGGAGGGGGGACTGAAAGCTCTCCGTTTCCGCTGCTCTTCCTCCAGAAAACACGCGCAGCGGCAGGTAGAGACCTGTTCCCCCAGCAGGGACACGGAGGCTGCGCGCTCACTGCTCCGCGTGGACAAAAACCCACAGATCACCCCGGCTGAGCCGCCCGGGCTGGAGGCTGAGAACCTTCAGCTGGAACCAATTAACCCCGAGAAAACAAAACTGACAGCGCGAGACAAACAAATGCAGCGGCCTCACCTTCCACCGCCATCGCGTCACTCCGGAGAGCCGAACATGGTTTCCGTCAGCCGAGAGCAGAAAGAGAAACACAACAACTCAGCGCGCTTTCATTGCACCTTGTTCGGCGTGTTATCATCAGTTTGCTGCGGGCAAGCTGCTGGAGCGCACAGCTGCTGCCTCGCAAAGCACTCTGGGAAATGTAGGCCGGAATGTCAGAGGCTGGAAGAAGCCAGGAGCTTCTTTAAAAATTTATTTAAAAAAGGTGGATAGAGATAATCATATGATGGCGAGTTTTACAGTTTATATTATCCTGTTATGAATAATGACGATCATTAATAACTTTTAAATTATATATGTTTATGTGTCACCATGTCATGAAGGTATGACACAGATTATCTATGAAAAAAAAACCTCCCTGAGGCACTATTGCTGTGTGCAAAAACAACCAATCTACGTCAGGGGGAGGGTCTTATCGCTGTCAATCATCCTCGTGTACGCTGTTCAATTACATTACAGCAAAACTGCTTATCTGCCATCGTCTGTGGCTATGCTAACTAGACTTACCTGAGGATATGTTGTTTCAGCAAACAGTTGAGGCAGAGTTGTTTTTGGTTTGGTTTACATGCAGCTTTACATGCTGTTGAAAGTATTCTTAAAAGTTCATCTGATAATGTGCAGCTCATGTGACCAAACCAGCCGAGGAGGTGAAAAGTTAAAACATTGTCTTGTTCTAGCTGGGTGACCCCAAGATCACTAAGTCGTCTTAAAAGGTGAAGTCTCTGAGAACAGTTCTTCAAAATATAGTCAGAGTTTTCAGCAAAGTTGAGCTGACTGTCCAGGAATGACCCAAGGTATTTAAAATTAGCCACAGTTTCAACAGGTTAGCCATTTAATGAGCTCTACATCCTTAAGAGAACAAAAAATTAATAATAAATAACAACGGCTTTGTGATATTATGATCTAGCAATGTAATTAGATTAGTTGTGTTACCACCACCACGCCACTAGAGGCAGTATCAGGCCCGAAAAGATGCGACTATTTAGAAGTACACAGAAAGCAACAGAATTTGCACTGACGTAAATAAATGACTCAAGTTCAAATAAATGATGAGAGTGAAACTCCTTCCCAAACATGAAGATATGTCACAGATTTCAAAAGAAAATAAAAACGGGAGTCTGTGGATAATGTAGGAAATAGCGCCCCCTTCATTTCCAGAGTGCCATGGTTCCATTTCCATATGAGTTTGGTGCAGCGAGGTGAATTTGGTTCACACAGGAGATCACATGCAGCTCGCATTTATTTAGACTACACAATAAAATAAAATAAATAAAAGAATTAGAAGTGAGCATTTAGGCATAACGACAATCTGAGCCGTCACATTTACTTAGTTTGATGTATTTTTAAACTAAAGTCTCTGGATATTTAAATGAAAGAGTTTTCATACGGATCAGTAGCGCATATCTTATCTGGTGGAAACTGACATATTAACTGGAACATACAGTAAAGAGCAACACGTGATAAACTACATTCCTGCAGAAAGAGGTGCAGCAGGTTCAGCAACACACCTGACTCAGTGATTACATTCCACAAAACTACTGTATGTCATTCCTGTGCATATTTCCACTAAATCTGTATCCTTATTGTCACAATCTGCAAAAGGAAAGAAAACATGAAGAAATCCTGTTAGATAATCGATGCTGTTTTTGTATAACTGACCCAGGTACGGTGGATTTTGATTCAAATCAAGAATCTTTATGTGTCTCCTTTGGAGACGTCATTTCTGGAAACTCAATCCCACCAAGTTGAAATGAACTCAAAGGGAAGCAGGTCAGGCTGTTGTTCCAGGAGCGACTGGCAGTACAGGTATTACAGGTGAGCGTCAGGAAAACAAAACCAAGTCGTACAGTAAATGTGTATTTATGAGGTCTGTTGTCGCTGTCTGCATCTGCAGCCGTGCATGGTTGGGACAAAGGCCGCCTGACGCTGAGATAAAAAGATAATCTGACTGACAGAATGAGGAAGTATCACTTTTCTACTGTTGGACTGATTCCCACTCCTGCTGCTCCTTCTCGGCATTCATCTTTTCCTCTTCAGCCTGGCTTGTGGTTTTTTCCCTCAGTCTTGCTGCAGTTCAGGTGTTTCATCTTATTCCCCCACACTGTCAGTTCCACATAAAAAAATAAGATGCTCGAATATGTAAGAGGCAATAAATAACTTAAAAGCCTTATCCAGTTTGATTTTGCACCTCAGGTATTTAACTCTGACGTTGGCAATTGTAATAAAATCTGTCACAGATCATGAAGGTTTTCTCCTTTTACCATCAGAAATCCAGTGGAAAAACAAACTGTATCCAAAGCGCTAAATTAGATGATCTTTGTGACTTTATTCTATTACAATGCTTTATCTATTTCTTTCTAAAAAAAAAAAAACATTGTATCTCTTATTTGTAAAGTGCCTTGAGATTAAAAAGGAAAAGATTAAATCAATCTCCCCTAAACATAGAATAAATCTGTTGAAAATCTGTTAAAAAATAAATAAAAGTGAATAAAAACAGACAATATTCTGACAGTATTATGACAGTGTGTTAGGGCTCTGGTAGATTGGAAGGGAATAAAGTAAAATAAATTTCCACCAAAGGACAAAAGTCGTTCTCCAGAAGAAAAAAAATTATGTACGACAAAATCAGAAAATTTGCAATAAAAAAGTTTTTAAAAATTTTTAGATTAATTTCAGTAATTTTCCAGAAAAATCATGGAAATTTCTGAATTTCTTTACTTCTGAAACTCTATGTTTTTGCCTCTAGATCATTTCTGAGCTTAATCTCAAAATTCCTGATTTTTTTTCCAGCAAATTTTCAACTTTTGAAACTAGAAAATGTGTAAGATTTCAGTTTTTTTAAGCATAATTTTACTCCTCCTGGTTCTATTTACAGTGACCCTGTATGACAGATAAACACGTTGGTGAAAACTATTTGAAATTATTCAACAAAAACAGATTTTTTGGAAATGTTGATCTCATCAGGAGAAGAAAAACCAGAGAAAAAACATTGTTTTAAAAGTTTAATTGCTCTTTGGAGCCCCCTGCTGGCGTGTTCTGGGACAATTTGTCAGAATTAACAAAACTCCATCTGATAAGCACCAGGCCTGCATATTCAGATTTTTACATAACATAGCATACATTTTCTTGTTGAAATCAAGAAAAAAAATGACATTTTTTAGCTGATTTAAGTAAAAGAATTTTTTTTAAAAATCACAGAAATGATGGCATGCATCATTTTTAGAGGTTTTATTCACACCCTTTCAAAAAATAGCAATAACCTGATTTGCATCTTGGCAATTTTTTAAAACCAAAAGTACACAGGAACAGCAATAATTGTTAAATAAGCACTAATTTATTAGAGAACAAAAAAAACAACATAGATTGGCTTAAATTAGCAAATGATTCCACACCTATGTAATTAGTGTTGGAAGAGGTAAAATATATTAAATTCACAATCAGATTTTTCTTCAGACAAATAAAGAAAAAGGAAACTGAGTGCAATGGAGGTCCATTTGATTCACCAGTCCTGACCCTGGTCCAGGACGGCCCAGTGGGCCTGGAAGGCGCTGAGGCCTCCATGGTAATTGCCGCTGATGAAGCGCAGCTCGGCGTCTTGGTGGGTCGGATACATGTTGAAGGACTGACCCGAAGGCTGGCCCACCTGCAGGGAGCGGCCTTTGTTGGTGACGAGGATCATGGACTGGATGTAGTGGGCGTACTTCCCAGAGACCTGGATGATCTTCTCATCTTCGAACAGCTTGATCTCGACCGGTTGGTTGTACGTGTATCCGGCGATCTGGGACCAAATGGATCCGTAGCACAACTGGATGCTGAGGGAAAGAAAAGGGGAAAAAAATCACATTTCTTTCGACTTGATTTTAATAAAGAGGCTAATAAACAGCTAAACTTTTAACGTTTACAAATCTCTGGTGATTGTTTGCTGGTTTGGACTTTGAAAAGAACCATGTGTCATTTTTTATTTATTCTGAGACTTTTACTTTTTTCCTCAACTTGGAAAATGTTTTTTACTTTCTCAGTTTAAAAAAAACTAAAAAGAAAAATAGTGAAAAATGTTGTTTAAGTGTGAAGTTTTTTTTCTAATGTATTCAAAAAAGCCAAATGTATCAAATATGAAAGTTTTCAAAGATATAAAACAAGGTGATGATTTTTTTTCCATTTAAAAAAACTCAGTTTGAATAGAAAATCAGAAATATTTAAAAAACAATTGATTTAATGGGTAGCCCTCCAAAAACCAAAACAATAACAATAATAATCGTAACAAATGAATAAATAAAAATGATAAAATGTAATTATTAGAACATTTTGAACTGTCTGGAAAAGGAAATGAATGTCACACTTCATACATCAGGTTTTTGTTTTCTTAAAAATAATCTCATCAGATTAGATCTGCTCAAAGTCTGGATTATTTTAAATTGATACTTAAAACTTATTTTCATTCATTGACATTTCATTGGTACTGTAACTTTTCTGTTGTGATGTTTTATGTTTATTTTATTTACTTATTATCATTACTCTTATTTTTTGTGTTATTGTTTCTTCTCTTTCTGTTTTCAACAACTTATTCTATTGTTTTATCGATTATGAAATTTTAAACCTGGGTTTAAATGCTTTATAAATAAATTTGACATTGACATATTATTCAGTGGCTTAAATTTCCTAACAAAATGTGGATAGTAACAATGATTATTAATGTTTGTTAATGCCAAATAAGTAAAATTATTTATTTTAGAAATAAATGTTACATTTTTTATTTTTACTTTTATTTGTTGGATTTTTTTGTTTTTTTTTGCCTAGCACTTTTACAAAAACACGCATTTTAAAAAGATCAGATGGTAGTAGCATTATTTTTGTTCGATGTGTTTTTCTTGCCATTAGGTTTGAATATTTGCTTTTTAAAAAACATTTTTCACAAATACAAACATCCTACAGAAGTAAATGTTTGCATCCTCTCTTTTGCAGCATGCACTTTTTTTTATTTTACTTTATTTTTAAAACCTACAAAATAAAAATAAAATGGTGATTCCTTAAAAACGTCAACACATTTCCTTCAATCGATACATGTAATCGATAAAAGTGTAAAAGTTGCAGGTTTTTCTTCGTTCTGAATCCAAAAATGTAAACGAAAATGAAGTGATGATCGATTCGTTGTACTATTTCACAAAGAAAATAAAGTTTTGTAGCTGTAGACGAAGCCGTTGGCGTTTCTACCCGTAGACGTGGTTCCCCCAGGCCTCCCAGACCCGGATGGCCGTGATTCTTCCCTCTCCGGTTATGCTGTACGAGGAGCCGCTGCCTGACCCCACAGACGGCGAGAAGGAATAGTGGGAGTCTGCAAACCGAAATAAACATTTCAGAACAACTATTGAGATTTATTCTTAGTAGTTTAAAGGATCCTGCAGCAGTTTGTGGTCTGACCCTCTGCCCACACGCAGGCTGCCAGCAAAGCCAAGACGACGAAGCGGCGCATTCTGTGGAACAAATGAACAAAAGTTCAACATCCATCACCTTGTTTATGAAATATAGAAGGAGGATCAACTTTACCTGTCAGATTCAAAGGTGAACCTGCAGATTAAATATGAAACACTTTAACCTCCTCAGCAATTATCATAAACACTCTGGATATGCAGCAGATCTATTCAGTTCAACAAATACTTACAGTAATAAAAAGGGTTTTTTTAGCAGCTGTTTCCTCAGCGACTATCTTCAGCCTGACGCGACTGGCAGCTTTTTATATGTTCCTCAGGACACGGCTGAATAACTTCACTGTGGCTTTAACATGCTTCATGTCTGTCATTGGCTGCTGGCTGACAGGTGAACTAGTGGCTCACTGCCCCTCTGGTGAGAGACAGGAATGAGGAGCTGCGCGCCGATCACACGTTTTTCATGTGAAAACATCCAGGAAGACATAAAAATAAGTCTCTGGTTTATTTCCTTGAGACTCTGATGAAAGCTTATTCTTATGATTTTAAAATGAATTCATTATTTTTTTTGAAGTTTGGTAAATTTAGAAACTAAGAGCATAAATCTCATCTCATCACTGGGGGGGAACATGAACAGGAAAATGTAACACGAGTTTTGGTTTGGAAAGTTTTCTAACCACATTCAAGCTGCAGGACCACAAATGACTAGTAATGAACATCAAACATGTTTTATTCTTTTAAACAAATTGTTGAGAAGTAAAACTGTTGCTTTTGTTCAGTCTCATTGATCTAATCTCTGCTGCACCTTTACAAAAATTAAGGTTGTAAATATAAGAAAGCCTCAATGAGTAACTGCTCTCAATAAAATTTCTCTTAAATGTTAATTTATTGTAATGCGTCCCAGTTATGGGCTATTTAAATCATAACTTGTTAAGTTGCTTTATTTTTAAGCCTTTTTTAGTTTTGTGGTGTCCTGAGTGACAGAAAACCAGCTGGTAGCTAGAAATGAATATCGTAATTTAACACTTAAAGCACCAGGGTTCATAGAGAGAAATATTCAGATTTTATTTTGTGGTTTTAAAGGCTCTATGTTGAAGTCAGTGAAAAATAAAGCATAGCTTTCTGTTTTTCTATCTGTTCTCGGCTCCCACACACAGCCGGGTCCACTCGCTCAAACTCTTCCAATTAACTAAAAGTTAGAGTTAAATATGAATGAGATGTTTGCTACCTTTGACAAAAAAGCTTAAGTCTAAGAAAGCAGTGTAGCATTTTTGCGAATGAAATAAAACTGACTCAAAGTAAGAAAATAAACTGCAGTCTCATTTTTATTGTTGATGTGTTTCACTCTGTTGAGCAGTGGAAGTAAATAAAATGTGTTACATGTATTTTGCTTTAAGTATTTACTTCCCGGGGTTTTTTTTATTTGTGATGCAGAGCTAGCTAACAGCTAACAGCTAGCTTCTCACTGCAGCGGCTCAGATGAGCCTGTACCATTTGCAGCACAATTTGGACTGAACCACTGTTCTAACAGTAGTAGGGGGATTGTTTTCTGAGATAAATGGCAGATTTATTTCTTTTTTTTGTTTCTTTTGTCTTTTCATATTTATATTATTTAAATGCAAACGTTTCTTCAATTTTTTATTTTTTTTTCTAGACTTTTCCAAGATTAGGGGATCTGGACCCCGTTCACCCCCCCGGGATTTACGCCTATGTTAGAAACTTAGATTCATAGTTTTAAATCTAAGTTTCAAACCTGATGTGCTTATCTGATCAGAGCCAGTTGACCAGCAGGAGGCGCCCAAGAGCCTGTAATTGTCCAGGCTTTTTATATTTAAAACAACTGTAAATGTGCAAAGCTCTATATTTTACAAAAGTTGTTAACAGAGGAACAATTTTACATGAATGTTGCTAAAAATGATAAATCATGAACTCAGGCTTTTAGAAACAGAAATAATAACAAATAGAAGATTTTCAATTTGATCATAGAACAATTCAATTGAATGATGCTAAAAGTATCAGCAATGTTTTGTAATTTGTAATTAATCTTGTAATTATGTTGGAAACAGTTTTTTATAACATAATTTAACGTAAATATCAACATCCCGTTGAAGAACATGTGTCCACTCTCTCAATGCAAAAGATTTTCTTTATTTTAACGCGCAAAAATAAAAAAATCTTGTTTCTGTAGTAGATATTTGTTACAAAATAAGAAGTTATATATTTGATCAAAAAGTACTTTTAACATTTGTGGCTCTAAATGACTTTTATTTTGCTGATCTGAGGGGAAAATTGGCTCTATGGGTTGTAAATGTTGCAAACCTCTGGACTGTATTTTTGTGTTTTAGATTTAATGTTGCTGATGCAAAAAAGAGACCAGACTCCTGGCCTTTTTATTATAAACAGTTTTTTATAGTTTGTTGTGCATCTGCAGATTTGCTCCTAATAAAAGTGAATTTATTTCTTTGTTTTCTCAGCTGTTCATGTTTTATTTAGCTTTTGTTTTTAATAACAAAAAGTTTTTTGTTTTTCTTAATGAAGCTTCCTTCTTGTCTCAGAGTTTGGGTCTGTGATGAATCATTTGTTTGTTTTTTTGGCAGGTGATATGGAGGAAGTGGACAAACATTTCTGGTGTTTATTTTTAACCTGCTGTGATATGAAGACTGACTGGCAATCCCACTTTTTAATCTCTCGCATAATCTGCACGTACCGCTTCTGGATTTAAAAAAACACTCATTACAGGAAAAACAAATGCCTTTTGTTTTCTTCAAATGATGGCCTTCCTCCGTCATAACTAGACAATTAGACTGAAGCTGGAATTTTAATTTCCGCTTTTATCCTTCATAATGGAGCAAATGAAGATATTTTATCCGGATCTGTTATGAATGAACATTTTCATTTCCTGATTTTTGGCTCATAACCATTTTTAGCTACCTGGAGCTGAGCTAACATATTAATCTTTCTTTCTACTTTCCTCTTCCACTTTCAGGGAACGTTTTTCTTCTTCAGCCACAATAAGTTGTTGTCGAAGCCACAAAAAACGTCAAAAATACCCTGCAAAGTGTGATACTGACTCCATGTTTGTTAGTTCATCTGCGTGTATAAAATATAAAGCAGGCACAAATATGAAGCGATTCATTTTATTCATTTATTTTACTTTAAAGAAAGAACAACTCAAGAATGTTTAGCACTCAAAAATTAAGAAACAGACAATATACCATATTCCCTTTACCAAATTATACATATCGCTTAATAGAAACATTTATCTTTATATTTTGGAAAAAAAAAAAGAAATAAAGTACGGTGTTTTATGTATGTTTAGTTTGATACTTATTTTTTAAAAACACAACTGCTTTAAAATGTTGAAAAGAAATCATCACTTTTTCTCCATCACTACTCATTAATCATCAGTTAAGTCAGAGTCTGGGACGGCCCAGTGGGCCTGCAGGGCAGTGGGCGGCCCACTGACCCAGCCGCTCAGGAAGCGCAGCTCGGCGTCCGGGTGGGCCGAATACATGTTGAAGGAATGGCCTGCCGGCTGGCCGACCTGCAGGGAGCGACCTTTGTTGGTGACAAAGATGAGCGACTGGATGTAGTGCGTGTACTTTCCGGAGATCTGGATGATTCTTTCATCGTCGTCCAGCTGCAACTCGCTGGCTGGGCCGGAAATGTAGCCGACGACCTGAGTCCAGCCGGAAAAATCATACTTGAACTGGAAGCTGAGGGAGACAGGAGTTTATTACATTTATGAAGATAATAACCTAACTACTTGGTGTCTCTTCTTAAATTTCTTAAATTTCAACTTTCGCAGTATGTTCCTCAAAGCTGCAGTATGTAACTTTTATATAAAGAACATTTTTTACATGTTCGTTGTGACAGTTTGATATGAGACAGAAAATCTATGAAAAAAAATCAAGCTCTTCTGTCTTCTCGCAGTGCCAACTAGAAACAACCAATCAGAGCACGAAGGCGGGTGTTAGCGCTGTCAATCACCCTCGTGTGTGTCCCTGGATCTCTGCTATAGTGTCTTACAGAAAGCAGAGCCTGTCGCAAATGCTAAGGCCAGTTATCACAGCCTCCCATGACGGCAGGTAAACACATTTCCTGTAACAGTAAGTTGTTTCAATCATTGACACAAAAATCCCAAATCATGATGATCGATATCTAATCTTGGACAATCACCCGTAAATGTAGTTGCTGGAGAGCTCCCACACTCTCACGGCGGTGATTCTGCCGACTCCCACCAGGCTGTAGGACGAACCTCCTCCGCCTCCCACCGACGACGAGAACGAATAGTGAGAGTCTGCAGGGAAAACGGTGAAAATATCAGCAAAAGCAGAAACATCACAAGAAAACTGAGGCTGTTCTATAAACACATTTCTAAACTGTTGAGTTGGATGTTTACTTACCATCAGCCAGGGCACAGGCTGTCAGGACAGCAAAGACAGCAATGAAACGCATTCTGTGAAATAAATTAATCCTGATTCAGCAGGGATTTATTCAGTTCATATTAATATTTAAATCACAGAGAAGCAGAAATACTTCTTACATTTCTGATCAAAGGTTTGCAAGAGGAGCAAAGAAAACCTGAGGAGGAAATGTTTGAACATGTTACCACTGCAGATTGTTTACCACACAAATCCAGCCATTAACTAATCATAATAATAATAATAAACACAATTTTAAAAAATGGGGTACTCACAGTGTTTTGTTGTAAATGTTTCAGAATCTGTGTCTGGTTCTTCCTTTCTTCTCTCACATGCTAAGCAACACTAACAGTGACTTTATGCCAGTGTGGAATGACTTCAAGCACATTTTCTAGGTATTTTCTCTGACTGCTTTCCGGATTCTTATTGGCCGATGGGAACCGCTTCAATCTAATGTCTTCCTGAAAAGACACACCTTTCAACACAAAGAAAGTATGCATGGTACGCTCACTAACACAGTCACTCTGACTGGCAATGTTACAAAAAGCAAATTAGTGCTTTCAGATTGGATCTGTGGGATTAAGAGGTAATCTAATGTTTCTAGTGTCAACTTGAGTTTTTCTTCTTCGTGGCGCGAGATGCGACTGGAAATCTCATCTTTTTCTCATTTGTTGCAGTCATCAGGCGCCACATCTTTGAATAATCTCACTTAAACTTTAAGGAACTGCATTAAAGCGTATCAAGTTTTCAGGAAAAGTAAGAACTATTATTTCTGTCGTAGCAAAAAATCAGCACCTCAATCTTTAAACAAAATTTGTTTCAAGTTGACCGACATGTTTTTTTTTTTGGTAACTGTTGCCTGGACAGGTCAACCAGAAGAGACTAAAGGGTTGAAGGTCACAACTGACGGTAAAAATTCTCAGTCCCAGATTCTGGAAGGAGTCGTTTTTAACACCCTTCAAAATCATATCTTATTGCACTTGAGACAAAACTATCTTATGTGAGGAAGAAATAGGAGCTTGTTTTAAGTAAATTATTCCTTAACATTGATTTAAAAGCTCCACTGGCAAATAATTTCACTTATAACATTTGAAAATGTCTTACTAAAATTGCGCTTAGGTTGTTTTGATGTCTGTCGTGGCGGAGCGGAAAGGTTTCTGGAAACGTCATGTGTAAAGCATCAATATAAATAAAATAAACCGATTTATAAGTGTTAGTGAGTCTGTTCTGCGTTGGCCTGTGATGGACTGGATCTGTCCATGTTTCTCAGAATAACAAAAAAATCCACCAAGATTTTCTTCCTTGGTAAAAAATAAAATTCATTGATCATTTAAAATCCAACAGCTGGATGAGATCTGGAGTATTTATGTATTTTTAATGTAAGAACAATAATAAACATTTACTGGAAACACAAGCTGGAGCTAAACTGGGCAGTTTTTAAATGTAGGAAGCCATGTTTGTTTGTGTGTGTAGAAAAAAAGAAAAGCCATCCACATATACATTCTGATTAGTTTTTATTAAAGTTTCCATTGACAAATAAAATTATGATTTAGAACCATATGGGATTAAAGTTAGACAGAAATACAGGTTACATTCGTCCAGAATATTTAGGACTCATAAACAAAAACAAAAGAAGAAATAAACATATTAATATTTTTTTATGAATACTAAAATCATTTACGTTGAACCTGCAGAGCAAAATGCAAAATTAGAATTTCCAGTGAAAATAAACACAAATTGTCTTTTCATTGAAGCAGATCTTAATTTAAATTTGAATATATGAGGAAACATTTTGCAAATTAAAGTAAAGATCATCCAAACAGTGTGGAGAGAATATCAGTTTGAACATGATTTTTTTCACTCAATTACCCTCGCTGCTGTTGGTATCGAGGACGGCCCAGTGGGCCTGGAGGGCAGTGGGCGGCCCACTGACCCGGCCTCTGAGGAAACGCAGCTCGGCGTCCGGGTGGGTCGGATACATGTTGAAGGCAGAGCCAGCAGGCTGGCCGACATGCAGGGAGCGACCTTTGTTGGTGACAAAGACCAGCGACTGGATGTACTGAGTGTACTTCCCAGACACCTGGATGATTCTTTCATCGTCATCCAGCTTCAGCTCGTTGGGTTCGCCAGACACGTAGCCGACGACCGGAGTCCAAACGACGCCGTAGCAGAACTGGAAACTGAAGGAAACAGGAAGTGAGGTGTCATATGTTAATCTGGGATGATTTAGGAAGAAAATACAGATGGTACCTTCAAGTTACATCAGAAATATTTTTGTAATGGAATTAATTTAGTCATAAAAAGACAGTAAGTTAAAAATATTGTTGTTTACGTTCACACTACAAGCTTTAGTGCTCAATTCTGATTATCTTTGTATGCTTGAATTAAAATGAAATTAACAGAAAAGTAGCATATCAGCAATATATACAGACTTATTTCTAGTAAATAATTTCTTAATATTGATGGAAAAAAATACTATTTAAACTGACAGATTATTTCACGTTCATCATGGGGAAATTGTCTTGTTGTAATTTATCTGCTTTTTCTTCAATATTAAAGAATTATTGACAACAACAAGTTTCTATTTGTTGCTGCTAAGTTGATTGTAAGTTAGTTTTGTTTTATTTCAAGTGTAATAACATATTTTCTGTAGAACCTACACTAGAAGTACCTGGTAAGATTTGTTGTTTTTGCCGTGTATTTTTGACTTGTCAGGGTTTTGTGCAGACTCAACACTGACTCATGTCTACATGAGCCCTATGTGTTTTTTTTAAATGTTGAAACATAATAAAATTCAGCATGTATTAGTGATTTAGTTACTCACTTACCATCAGCCAAGGCACAAGCCGTCAGCAGAGCAAATATAGCAACGTTTGCATCCTGTAAAACAAATTGATGATGACTCATTCAGTTCATGTCACTAATAAGTTAACATTAAAAAACGTTTTTACTTACATGTTTAGTGAATTTTTTTGTTGCAGGATTAGCAACTCAACCCTGTATGGAAGTTAGGAAATATTACAATGATCTGCTAAAGTATAAAGAGTGTCTAATTAACAACTAATGATTTTCTAAGTAATATAAAGTTTTAAACAAATACTTACAATTTTCTTCCGATTATTCTTGAGAATTAGAGTGGTAGCATATGTGTCCAGCTACTCCTCTAACTAGTTCAGCACAGAGGTCTTTTATACGAGTGTGGGACACACCCAGGAATATTTTTACAGCTTTCCCACTGATAACCTTCCTGGTTCTCTCCACCAGTGAACCCAGTTCAGTTGGATGTGTTGCAGAAAATGAACAGTTTGTTAACAAACAGTGTAGTGCACTAACTTTAGTCCTGTTGTTTTCAATGTGTAGAGTCAAATGTTTGCAGTGTTCATTTGTTTTTCCTTCGTTTTTGCTGTGAGATGTAACAGGAAATAAAACTTCTTCACCAGTTATCATCCACTGTTTCTAGAAATATGTCGAGCTGTACTTCTAAGAACCGGATCAGCAAATGATTCCAGGAAAGCATCCTATTTATAAATGTCAGGTTAAGAATTTTTAAATGCTCAATGATTGCTAGGATGTGTTTTGATGGTGGGACCATATGCAGAGACATCAAGTAAATAAGGAATGTTTCATGAAAAAACGAAGGAAACCATAAGAAAGGAACACAGGGAGCCAAAGCAGAACAAAAACCATAAATGAAATGAAAAATCCAGCAGGGAAGAAACAGGCAACATAATACGAGGAATCAGCAAAGTGTGAGCAGGAGACGGGTTTAAATACTGAAGATGGTTGCTGGAACAAAACACCTGGGCTCATTAGCTAAAGGCTTGCAGGTGCAAGGAAAGAGAGATAAAATGAGTCAGAGCACACAAGAGACTAGAAAATGAATCTAACACTTTAGAATAACTAGAGATACAAACTGAGTAACAAGGAATAAGCAGAAACAAGAAATGACTATAACTAGAAACACTAAGAAGGACTGAATTAAAGTAAAACAGAAAGAAGACCGATCTAATCAAAGAAAAACATTAAGGAACACAAAATAATGATCAAACCTCAAAAATAAATCAAAAACAACTCAGGACCAAACAATGATGTTTGTATTCTGATGGAAAACTGACACAAAACACTCAACATTCAATGAAAGCAGGCTTGTGTCATACATCCATAAATCTGCATGCAGAGAGACAGAGAGACACCAGCCTGGGATCCAAACCCTGGACTTTGCTGCAACAAGGCAACAGTAGCACCAACTGAACCGATGTTCTTCTTTATTATGTCAGAAAAATCCAAATGTGTTGCTAAACTCCTAGAATCTTTGTAAAAATACGTTTGGGTATTCTTTCAGCTCAATTTCTGGACAGCAGAGACGACATTTCACAGCATCGTGTGCTGGATGACATCATCAGTTGCTAGCAAACACTCCAAATCCACCTCCTTTGCTTTTCCTCTCAAAAAGCTTGCTTTAAATGTCCACCACTGCTACTGAACCTATGACACAACAACAACTCAGTTATTGCAGCAATGACAAAATACTGACATTACTTAATCTCATGCTACATTATGCAAACTGTCTGTGCTAACCCTAACCCTTCACAAGCAAGACGCTGTAAACCGAGAGCGAAAATAACTGGATGAACTTTCTATTTAACCTGGGTAAAACTCATCTGATCATCAGATAAGGAGAAAATATTTTAATTATTTAGTTTACAGCAAAATGGCATTTTAATGTGTGACAGAAAACATTGTGATGGCAGGTTTTTAGAAAATGTGAGCTCGACTGAAGTTGTTTGGTTTGGTTTATGTGGTAAAAACATATATCAGAATTTCTATATGAAATGGTTCACATACTGCAAAGATTTAACCATGAACTCATTAACTGCTGAAACGGTAAAGTATTGCAGAACATATAATGTGTTTAATTATGAATGCAAGGCTAAATGATGTATTAAACTTAACTGGGAGATATTTTTGATGTGCTATTAATGGACGGTCTTGACTGAAAAATACCACAAACAGTTTTTTAAAAGTGAAGGCAGCTGCAGTTTATTCATAAATCATATTTTCAAGTCAACAGTTAACATAAACATCATTGTGTTTTCAGAAAAAAGATCATAATTGATTTTAACATAAGTGCAAGAACAAAAACCCAGCAGATTTGACCTTGAATTAAATTTCTGATGACGACAACTTGAAGGATGGATTTTAATCAAAATAAATCCTTCAAGAGTCTTAATTGCAATTAAACCAGTGCAGTAAAAAAGTTGTGACTCAGATTTCAGATCCCAACATCTGTCGTCTGCTCAGACCTTAATATCTAGAAGAGCTGTTGGTTGGGCTCAAGGACGGATCGACGATCGCCCAGTGGGCTCCCAAGGAGGTGAGGCCTCCGTTCACATGGCCGCTGATGAAGATCAGCTCGGCCTCGGGGTGATCCGGGTACATGTTGAAGGAAGTGCCAGACGGCTGACCCACATATAGGGAGCGACCCCGGTTGGTTGTGAAGACGACGGACTGCAGGTAGTAGGAATACTTCCCAGAAATCTGGATGATGGCTTCTCCGTCGTACAGCTGAAATTCCTGGTTGTTTCCGTAGGTATAGCCAGCACCAGAGGACCAGATGTATCCGTACCGGAACTGGATGCTGGAGGAAAAGAGAAATAATGTGAATAACTGCTGGCAAAACTTTTGTGTTGTAACAAGAATTCTTGCTAACTTACCCTTGGATGTGGCTATTATAGTTTTCCCAAATTCGCACAGCGGTGATTCTTCCCTGACCGGTGATCGCGTAGGAGCTCCCACCTCCTGACCCAACCGGCTGAGAGAACGAGTAATGTGGCCTGACTGGAATGGAAAAAAACAAACATGTTACTAGTCAGATGCAAAATATCTTTTAAAAATAAAAAACACGTCCTCCAAAGTCGAAAATGTTATCTAATCATCTCTGAGATTGATGTTTTCTCATGAGCAACATGGAGACTTACGATCAGCCGCAGCAAAGGCAACCAGCAGAGCAAAGACGGCAACAAAAAACATTCTGTATAAGACAAATAAAAGATTTACTATTTTACCCTTAGACTCTTCACATTGTAAATATAAACTAACAAAGAATAATAAAAAAACATTTTACCTGACTAGTTGTCTTGCTCCTAAAATCTGAAGTGTGCTCTACGTTGTCAAAAACTAAAGAGTTATGTGTGTCGTTCTCAACCATCTCACTTTTGTATCATGGTTCAATTACGTCTAATGTTTTCATTGGCTGCTCAGCAAACCTTAAAAAAAATGTTGAAGCATCAGGAACTTGCTGACAGGTGGTGAATTGTTTTATCTGACAAAGCCAGCATGCCAGTAATCTGGAAGATATCCAGCACAGAAATGACAAACATCATCATTTTGCAGTTATGTTTGCTATTATTATAAAATCTACAACTGTAATGAATACAGAGTGTAGAGTTATGAATGAAAACAAAAAGGTTTGGTTGGTTTTTGGTTTACAAATATTCTGTTTTGCTAGACAAAGTGTCTTTAAACGTTTGCCTGCTGATCATTCTTCAACAGTTTGGGCAGATATCTTATTCTCGTGTTTATAATTCAGCAGGTTAAATCACAGTAAACAGATTTAGTTTTGTTCTCACCAGGAAGTAAACATCTTGGGACTTCACGAGAAACACATTTCTATTTTTATGAGCATCAAGGAAGAAGTTTGTCCAGTAAGTTTGTGGCTTCATTGCAGCTGTGGCATGTTCTATAACTGGAATTACAACTTTCGTGGGTTTATAACATGTAAACTTGCTCCTTTGGTACGCTCAGCATCTTTCCTAACAACGGTTATGCAAGAGACTTTCCAGAAATCAAATCATCAAAATTCACACGTAAGTCGCTCCAGACTATAAGTCGCACCCCCGGCCAAACTATGAAAAAAACTGCGACATATAGTCCGGAAAATACGGTAATTACTAACAGCAAACACAACCCTAAAATTCTTGCAATCATATATTGATTGCCGAACTTTCCAAAGTTCGGCAACTATTATCATTTATTAAAGATGTCTAGTCATTTTAAAATATTTTTAAATTGTATCAATAGTTGTTTTCTGTTTTTTTTTTTTGTTTGTTTGTTTTCTCCTTACTTATTACGTATTTTTTATTGAAATCAACATTATTACTAAAATATCTCAGAACATGTTTATTATCATTTCCACGGGCCATCATCATCATCATCATCATCATCATCATCATTCTTGTGTCGCTCCAGAGTTTTTCTCACTACCTGGAGCTCTGTGTTAGCTCAGTGTTAGCTAGGTGTTAGCTCTGTGTTAGCTCAGTGTTAGCTAGGTGTTAGCTCTGTGTTAGCTCAGTGTTAGCAAGGTGTTAGCTCAGTGTTAGCAAGGTGTTACCACATCATCATCATCCTCCTCCGACGATATTAAAGGCCCTGAATCGCTCATTTCCTCTCCTTGTCCGCTACTGAATCTCCGCCAACGGCCAAGTTAGCTTGGTAATTAACATATCGGTTAGTTTGACACATTTTTCTAAATGGGCTTATGTGCTTTTTTGCTTTTATGTAGTTTTTCTGTCTTTTTCAGTCTCGTTTCCGCTCATTTTCTCAGACACCTGTTAAATGGCGCTATTTATAACCTCAGAGGGGATTGATGGGCGGGCCGAAGAGGACAGAGGGATTTCATTGGATAAGTCCAATGTCTGTCAATAAAATCAACCAATGGGCTGTCGCGGTCGATAAAAATTAGATTTAGCATAATTTTTGTTAAATTATGACAGCGTAGGGCCCCAAATGTGGACAGTAAATACATCAGTTTGGATTTCAGACGGTCAGACTTCCCCTGGACAGAAGTTCAAACTGAATGCAGCTTTTTTTTTCTTCTTTTTTTGTGCGTTGCAACAATTTACACGCCACTTCATACTTTTACCTGCATTTGGTTTGTGCTAATTTCCACCCCTGGTATAGACAAGAGGTCAGAAGGGTCTGACGTATCAGTTATGTGTAGAATGGAACAATTATGATTAGAAAAAACCTTTCTAAAATCATTTCTGTTGATGTAGAAATATAGTCCTAAACTAGATGCAAAATGATGGTAAATTAATCTGCTGAAACCACCTGTTAAACTGTGGAAAACTTTTATGGTGAGATCCACAATATTTTATGTCCATACAAATATGTCACTAATTTGCCATGTGAATGTGATGAGCTCTGATCTGTGATGCCACAAATGAAGCTTTATCCATCTGGGAGCTTATGTGGGGATGTTATTCCACCTTGATGTTTCATGGCAAATGGTCAGATTTGAGGCTTTGGTGAACAATTTTTTTTACGTTCTGTCAAGATGTACATGTGTGGTGAATTTTATGACTGTCGGCCAAAGCGTGGCTTAGGGCTGATTTTTAATATGATTCTGTGGAGAAATTAGTCCACACCCACCAAATATTGGACCGCATTCCTGCCAGGGGTTGGACAAGGATCAATCAGTGAATTTGGTCCAGCTCGGTTAAAACAGGTGGGATTTATAGCCAAACGTATGGCAGCAGCGTAAACCGTCACGTCGCCACGCCACCATTGCCACTTTCAGAAAAGTGAGACCAGCTTGTTGTCTGTCATCAGACACACGATCACACTCATTAGGTCAAGAGATGGAGCTTTTCAGGAAAAAGTAACTTCCTGTTCAGAGGGGGAGGGGCTCAGATGACGTCAGATTATGACAACATTGTCAGGGATCCAACCAGGATCATTCATGCCAAGTTTTGTGCCAATTTACCTCAAGTTAAAATCATAACGTTTTGTTTGCGATGACGAGTACACCAAATTTGCCGCACAGCCACAGCACCTGAACATGTACGAAAACTCAATTTGTTTGATAACTTTTAAAGCCCCACCCCTTAACTGCATCCTGGCCAAGAATGAAGCCAATAGGTTGAAATCCACAGTAGTTTGTTAAAGTTCTATGTGAATGAAAGTGAAAAATGACAAATTTTTGCACAGAGGAAGACTCTGCAGATAATCATGAAATCTGCCCAGAGGACTATTTGCTGCTCTGCCATTTCTCTAAGAACATTTTAAAAGACTCCTCACAACCCGGTCACAGTTTGTTCCAACTGGCTGCAGATAAAGGAGCATTGAAACAAGGACAAACAAACTGAAGATCAGTTTATACCCATGAGCCAAAAGGGCATTTAATGTCACCTAATACAATTTATCACCCAATTTTGTTATGATTCATGTCATTTTATTGAATGGTTGATTTTACAACAATACAGTTTGGAATTATTTTTGCTACAGAATATGCCATAAAAAAAAACAAAGCATCTGTCAAGGAAAATGTTTCACATCTCTAAGTATCTCAATGTTAAGATCTAAATGATCACATTTAAGAAATACTACAATTTCTCAGCTTTATTGTCATGAAATCCCGCCAGACTTTAATTTTAGTTTTTAACCAAATCTATTAAACAGTGAACCTCAACATAAGACACACATGAAAAATACTTCTACAGCTTTTCACCTGTGTGAATCATCATGTGCTGAGTTAAACTAACTTTGTGAAAAAAAACTTTTTCCACAGTTCACACATGAATAAGGCTTTTCACCTGTGTGAATCCTCGTGCTCAGTTAATTTTCGATTTTGATGAAAACGTTTTCCACAGGTCACACATAAAAATGTTCTTCTCTTCTGATGTTGGTTCTCATCTTCATCAGGCTCATAGAAGATGTCTTGGTTCCCATTTGGTTCTGATTCAGTTTGGTATGTTTGATCATCAAGTTTAACCTAGACTGGAGATATTTATTTGTTTGTGTTTCTTTATTAGAGAAACTCAAACATTCAACAAAACAGACCATCCGCCATCTCATTGTTCTTCCTCCTATTCTTCTTCTTGGAGACTTTATGACAGTCGACATTCACATTGTTGCATTAACTTCCCCTTCTGGATAATTTGAGCAAATAGGGTGAAATATCATTCACCTAGCACTCGAAAAGTGAGACAAAGATGGGCAACCGCCGGTCAGAGATTCGGTTGTTTTCCAACTTTTTAAATCAGTTTCAATCTCATTTTACTTTAAAGGCAAAACTATCACTAATACTTTTCTGCTAATTTTTTTTTTTAACAAACTCAATCATCATATACATTCTATTGTTGAGTTAAAAAAACAAAACAAAAAAATAATCCCCACAAACTTTCTCTATTGTACAGAATAATACAAATCAATCCCTCAAGTCCAATCAAGTGGGAATGTTCTGGAAGGGAGTCAAACTGATAATGCATGAAATTAGTCACAATGGACCACAATGTCTCTTCATCTATCAGCATCAGTACTGGCTCTCCTCAGGGCTCTGAGCTGAGCCCTCTGCTCTTCACATTGCACACACTACATACAGTTTGACATAAACAGCATGTTAATACAATAACATACAGTTTATCATAATTCTTTTTTGATACAGAATATGCCAAAAACTACAACAGATCTGGGAAGGAAAATGTCATGGCTGCACATCTCCAAGTATCTAAAGGTGAAGATCCAAATGATCCCATTTAACAAATACAACAATTTTCAGCTCTATAGACATGAAATCCCTCCAGTCTTTCATTCCAATTTTTAACAAAATCAATTCTTTCGTGAACCTCAACATAGGATATGTTTGGAAATTAGGCCTGTCACGATAACAGATTTTGCTGGGCGATTAATTGTCTCAAAAAATTTGTGCAATAAACGATAATATTATTTGAAGACCTTTATACACTGATTTAATGGAAATTACATAATAATCTGGGTAAATCCGATCTAAATCAAAGATTTACCCAGACTGGGAGAGTGACGCAGCTTGTTGACTGTGACCGGTAGCCAATCAGAAAGCGCGGATTCTCCTCGTGCTTTCTGAGGGGAAACACGGAGGGAATCCCGAACAGCTGACACGATGCAACCCGAAGTCCAGCGGACATCGGAAACAACATGAATGTTTATTCAACAGTTCGTGCAAAAAAAAAAAACATAAATAACTAGGGGAGAAGTTAAATTTCTACCAGAAAACCCCGTAACTTTTCAGCTGTTCTTCGTTAACGTGACATAAATAGGTTATAATGATTTTCATTTAGTCAGGACTGACACAAGCCACATGCATTGCAGATAGATTGTAGTGAGGAATTGATTAATGCCTGGTTTCAAAGTTAGTGAACTGGACTTATTATTTTGTGCCCATTGTTGGACACAA